TTAATTTGCCTCTGATTGTAGTCTGAAAAACAATAAAATAGGGAAATGTTTAGCATCCATTGCTCAGCTTTCCCAACTGGATGAAGGATGATTCTACCCATTAACCAAGACAGGAGCACATTCCTGATGCTCATGCCTTTTCTATACAAACATAATATTTTAGGCCTTACTGATAGAAGGCCGGAAGGATCTCTAGGTGACAGCTGCCCTGACATCAGCCTGTGGACCTGTCTGTAATATCATGTATTTCAGTATGTCTGTAATTCCTGCTGCATGTGACAACACTTATTTTGGGATGTTTCTGTCTTTGGAGAATAAAAAGAGTTTTCATTTGTGCAGCACTTTACAAAGAGGTGCCAGCAGCAGCTCCAGGGGTCAGTGTGACAAGGTCCAGCAGAGTGTGAGCAGCTGGCCTGGCGTGGGCTCCGTGTGTGGCACTTGTTCACTCCCTGTGCCTTGTGACTTGCTCTGCACCCGAGCAAAAAGCTGAACATCAGGATATTCCAGTACAACTGGATGGGAAGTCACATAGGTAAAGGACTCATGATGAACTTTTCAGTTAAAACTTCATACCTTTTTTTATTATTTCCATTTATTCCTCTCCCATCTTTTCTGCCTCCATATTATACACTGCTCCGTTTCTTTACCATCTTTACCCCCGTTGCTCTGTGCCTTTTCCTTCCCAGATGAAACATCTCTCTTTTTTCCATTGACTGCCCTTTGTAGGTTCTCTCCACATAACTCATAATTTCTCTCCCTCACCTCCCCCACTCATCCCAACATCTTGGGCAGGAGTCATTGAAGGCATGGAGTCTGAAAGAGCAAACCAGTCTCTAGAGAGAGAAACACTGCAGATCATTATCTTCCTCACTCTGTTAATGGAGAAACAGAAAATATGTGAAGTCAGCTGATAACATAATAAATGTGTGGATGAAAGTCCTTTTGCTGCAAGAGATATTATAAATATAAGGTACCTACAAGTATTTGAGCTGAACAAAGTCTTCCTTGAGTCTCAGTATTCCTATTCTAGGTCCATGTATAGCTGATGTCTGTAGGAACACACTGGAAATCCAGATCTGTACATGAATTAAATGAGTGAGGTTTTATCATGGAAGGTGCAGGAAAGCATTTTTTATCTCTTCCAGAGTGGTCAGCACATAAATTCCAGTAGTTTTCATGGTTATTGATACCATGATAAAACTGATCTGCCCAAAACCCTTTTCCTGACTCTTCATGGATCAGTTAGGTCAGTCCTCACAGTGAAGAGTGCTTGAAATGTAGCATTACCATTTCAAATAATTTTCTAACTTCTCTCTGAAAATAGAAGAAAAACAAGAATACAATAGTTGAGACTCCTTATAAAATCTTCCTGGAGGAGTCCAAGGATACTCACCATTGGTCTCGATGGACTGTTCACACATCCTTGAAAGGAATTCATTAAGCTGGAAAAGCTGGCTAGAAACCAGTCTTCCTATAATGTCTTCCATAATTTGCTCCAAGGGACACATTTATAGTCACTCAGCCTTTTTTATAGATCTTGTGCAAGATGAAGGGCTGGGTCACAATTGCAAGGCTTTAATGAATAGATGTTTGTTACATGCCACAACCCAAATAATTTTTCAAGCATCTCAGCACTGTGCAGTCTTTTCAGTCTGGACTTCCCCACGGATATGGGACAGGATGATAGCTGCAGCCTCTGGAATCACAGAGAGATAGTGCCTGGTTTTGTTCCCTCTTCCACACTGACCCATTGAGGTGCAGACAAAGCACCCAGCAATTGCAATTTCTACTCTTGATTTTGTTTCCTGAAGAGTCGAATATTTTAGTTATTTCTTTTTATTCATACAAATGTCTCTGTATACAGGCTTATATGGAAACAAATTACAATAGGAAGGCTCCTCCAATTAACAAAACTTCACTGCAATTTTAAATATCTATCAGTCATGGCCAGATCTCAGGATAACATTCTGCTTTTCAAAGAGCCCTGAGATCTTCTTCATGAACTGTTTAATTTTATAAGAATTGTCTGTCATTTCCATTCCACCAAATGCTGCCATTTTTGGGTGTGAAGCCCACTGGCGTTTTAGAATAAGGTGACCTTTGATTATGAAATACAAAATTAGTCAGAAACTTTGGATCTGAAGGAAGCCCATATTAAGAATTACTTCCCTTCCTAATTGCACTTACCTTTCGAGAAAATAGAGAACTTGGACATTGGACTTTTTTGCTGGATATTTTCCACTTGGCCACAAACACTGGAAGTCATGTCTTAGCATGGTAAACCGAGTTGGTGTTGCACAAAGAAACACTGAATTCATTTGTGTATTGCACCAGAACCAGCCTTGAGTCACCATATTGATATACAAAGGATCAGATAGTAAACTTTTTATTAGCAGCCAGGAATTTCTTTTGAAAATTACTCTATTTTTGACATGCCTACATATGGCCTGAAGGATGCTGGTACTGTTCTCCTTCTATCAAAACAGGATATAATGTGTGACTGTGTTCTAGCAAAGTGTTACCTTTTTTAACAGATTTATAATTTTTTAATGTCAGACCACCACAGAGCTTTCAAGCAATAGCTGCTGGCCAAAACTTACATTAGGAAAGTGCACATTCTGCTCCATTTCCCTCAAGGAAGGAGAGGTAAACATGGCCAATCTGGACTGGGAGGGCCAGAGCAGAGGTAAGGAGGCACAGCTTCCCTGGTTCCTGGGGCTGCTGCTGGATTGATCCGTGGCAGCTTCAAAGGAAGATAACAGAATCTTTCCTGCAATTAAAAGGAAGATAACAGAATCTTTCCTGCAATTAACAATCCTTTGCTTTCGTGTCTGTATCAATATTTAAGAAAAATGTTGTCTTACTGAAGAGCAGTAGCAGTGCCTCAGCTGTCCAGGGCAGCTGTAGGGCTCTGTGTAGACAGACAGACAGACAGACAGACAGACAGACAGAGGCTTCTCCTGCCCAGTCTCTCAGCAGCAGTGTTGGTTTGGGCACTGAGCCCCGTGGCTCCTGCACAGGGGCTGGCACGGGTCAGGGCAGGGTGAGCTCCCATCTGTCTGTGCTGACAGAGTTAAAATTGGGGCTGGAGGAAGGATCAGGAGCAAACAGGAGCACAGGAGCACCTGTGAGCCCACCTTGCACCTTGTGGGGAGCACCTCGAGCCGGGGCTGTTGCTGAGCTGGAACCTGCTGGAGACACGGGCACAGGCTCTGGAGCTGCTGCCACACTGCCTGCAGGAAGGCAGCAGGAACAACAGCTCTTGCAGAGTTTCTGCAGGCAGCCCATACAGCCATTTCTTCCCAAAATGTCAATACAAAAGTAACAATATGAAATACCAAAGGAGGGAGATTGTATTCTGCTGGATCTCAGCTATGCTGAGAAATGGGAGGCACAGTGGGATTTCTTTGCCTCCTGAAGGGAAGATGGAGACAATATTTGTGGTGGAGGGGAAACTATTTATGGTGAATTAGCACTGCTGACAGACGTACCTGGTGCACAGGGCTGGTGGAGGCTGTTCTTCCATCTGCAGGGGAAAGCAGTGCACTGTAAAGCTCAGTGGCATTTTGAAATACTTGTAAAATCAGTGCAGCACAACCTGAAACTATTATTAACCAGTTAGTCACAGTGCTGCTAATTGCAAGTCACCTCAGACCAGGGAAGCTAGGTAAGGAACTGAGCTCAGGAACAACGACCACCTACTTTAGGCCACCATTAGTCATTGCTGAAATTAAGTGACTTGACTCCAGCAGGATGAACCAGGTCACCTCGGCTGGATATTTGGGTTTCACATGCAGAGAGCAAGTCAAAAAGCCAGTCTGCTTTCCTAGAGACAAGAGGTTTTGGGGGGATGTAGACAGTGCTAAATGTTATGATTACCTTCACTCCCCTCCCTTCCCCTCCCTGAACTCCCAGCCCTCCTCTCAGGGCTGCCCTGGATCCCTTTGGGATCTTGGCCCTGTTGGGCACTAAACTGACCTGGGCCCACTCTTTATTAAGAAACAATCAGTGGTACTGAGCTGAGCAGAGTCTGTAGTTCCCTTTTCCTGCTTCCTGTGGGGTGCTCAAACTGCTGTGAAAGAGATGGGCAGAGATTTCACCTCATCACTATGTTTTTGTTAGCATTTGTCAGTGTTTTCTGAGAATGCCCTTCCAGTGAGCTTTCAAATTCTGTGTAGGAACTGGCCAAATTCTGGGTTGCAGGAGGGTTTAGGTTGGAGACTGACCAAGGCCCCTTGGGGATCAGGAAATTATCGTGGTTAGGCAGTGCTCTCTTTGGTACTTCTGGAACTAAGGTCTCTACATTCTGTCCAAATCCAGATGCTAAGGAGCAGGGATAAACTCTGAGTATCCTTCTAAAAAAAGCACTCAGTATATAAACTGCTCCTGCCCACAGACAGCCACATTGTTTGGGTCTGTGGCAGAAGGAAGAGGGGTCAGGTGTTTCTTTTGTGCTCAGTGAAATAATATCTGTGAGCCTGAGGAGCTGGAAGGGATATCTGAGGTCACCGAGTTCAGCCCTTCACTGCTGCAGACAAACATGATGTAATCCCTTTCATTACATGGGCAAACTTCCATTCTAAAAGTAGTTTTGCTTGTTTTCCTTTTTTTTTTTTTTTTTTTTTTCTCCTCTTACTTTGCTCTCCTGTTCTCCTGCACTCAAGTTATGCCCAGCCTTACTTTTAGTGTTTGTTGCCAGCTACTTTTCCTGTTATACTCTTTCGTCTAGCCCATGTCTCCACATTTTTGGTATTTCTGGTGAGTGGAAGATGATGAAATCCACAGGAAGAGAGTTCAGTATCTCTTTTTGTGCTTATTAACTACTCAGCCCACTAGTGCTTGATTAGGCAATTTTGAGATACAGGCAAATGATAATTACATTGCTCACAATACATTTAACTGAACGTCTGAAGTATCCATTAAAAAGAAAACCCTTCTAGAACAAGAACTTTTATTTTATTAAACGATTTAGAATTTAGTCATATGGCTCTTAAAGATACTTATTGCTGAATTATAAAGTAGTTTATTTCACTTAGTGTCACTTTACATTTTACCAGTTGGAAGACCTGCAAAGTGTTTCACAAGGCAGAGATAAGTCCCCTGGAGCCTCCTGATTCCATCTGAAAAACCTGGGCTCCTTTGCTCTCCCTTTGTTTTAGCACATTCCAGCTACCAGTAATCCCAGTCAGCCAGAGCCCCCACCAGCAATCTGGCATCTCTTTGCTCTTCATCTCTGTCACATCGGACTTGGGAGATGGTTTGAAGCCAGTTTTGTAATGGAGGTAGAACAGAAAAGCAAAGGCTTGGGAGCAAAATGATGAGGGTAGAAAAATGTTCTCTAAGTGTGTGCAGGTGACTGTGGTTAAAAGGAAGTGTGAACATTTGCTGGCTTGCCTAGCACAACAGAACACTGCAAAGCACCTTCCCTTGTGATACATTCGAGGCAATTTTATTCTGAATTTCTTTCCAAGTAAAATTTTAAACTTGTTTTCTGATCAATTTAACACATTGGTCCCTGGGACATTCTGCTCAATGCCTATCGGGCTACTTCTTCCTCCTATCCCTGCTCAAAGCTTGGCTCTCCCCATCAGCTACAAAATAAAAGAACTTGGATGGATCTAATCAGCATGACGGATATTGATTCACAAAGACACAGGACCAGTTGTAATTTGTATCTATACACTATCAGCATGTACTGATTCACAGTCACATGAAGCCAATTTGAATTTTTATAGATGCATCATCAGCACTGCATGTATTGGTTCACAAACACAGAACCAATTTGCAAATACATCCATAACCCAGTGGCACATGGCCATTTGATGTCTTGACTCCATTTGGATATCTCAACTCCATTTGGATGTCTCAGCTCACCGTTTTTACAGAGTGGTCTCCACTTTAGGCCAGTTCCTTGAGCGGTTACACAGGTACACACAGACCTGGGTGCACTGACTGCCTCTAAGACCATTTCCCTCTCTGAGGTTTGGCTGCCAGTGCTCCAGGCCAGCTCAGCTGTGCTGTGGCTGCAGCCTGGGAGCAGGCTGCTGGGAAGAGACCGTGTGGGAGGAGCTGGGAGAAGTCCCACTGGCAGCTGACCCCTTCTCTCCAGAGCTGCTCTCCAGCTCCCACCCCGAGTCTGTGCCTGAGTGATGCTGCAGCTACATCTGAGCCTGGCTGCATCCCTCCCTGAGCCTCACCTTGCTGAATCTTGAAGCAGCCTCGTGCCACATCCATGGCGCTCCCTGACCCCGTGCACAGTGTGGTTCGTGTGCCTGAAGCCCAGAGGAGTGCTCCCCTTGCCTGTTTTGGGTCAGGGAAGGCACAGACACATCTCCCTTGCATCCAGGATGAGCAGTGCTGGGCCCTGTTCCTGTGCAGGCACCTGAGTGCAGTGGTCATGTATCTTTCTATAAATAATTACTTCACTTCATCACTTGCAGCCTCTTTTCATCACCTCCTTTCCCTCAGACCGATGGCTGTTTAGGGATGGAAGGTTTTTTTCCTCTCTAGCTGGAACAAGGCCATTCAATGGAGTGAGCAGCAGGAGGTACTGAAAGAGAGATACTGTTAGCACTGTTTCCACATGCCCAAAGAGTGATCTTTATGCAGCTGAGACTACAAGGGATATCCCTTAAAATAAAGGCCAGCTTATTACCCATCTTCTCCAACTCCTGTGGAACTAAATATCCTGAAGTTGAGAGAAGCTGCTGCACAAAGCGTCTTTATAGCTCTCAGTGTGCCTTCTTTGCTGGCTCCAGCTGCCCCTACACTGTTTTTCCTCACTCTTTTCTTCAATATTTTTTCCAGTTGACTTAGTTACTACAGTACATGGACCAGACTGAGGAAAATACACTGAAGGTTGGAGCTGGCAGAGCAGGGAGAGCTGCGAGGGAAGTGCCTTTGCCATCCATGACATCACCCGTGCGTTAATTGGTGGCGTTCCCGCGGATGGGAGGCACTGGCCGGTGTCCTTGGGCTCACTTCCGTGATACAGAACAGAGACACTGCCTGTCTCCTGCCAGCCTCTTTCATTGCCAGCCTTCTGGCAAAGCTTAGGACATTTATAAAAACAGTACAGTACTTTATTTAGCCTCTAGTGAGAAAAAGTCACTTCGCAGCTCCAGTTTAGGCACAAGGCACTAACAAGGAGATTAAAAAAAATATATCCTTTACATAAAAACATTTCAAGCGAATACATGAAAGTTGATTTGTATTCCAGATGACCTCGCAAACCAGGAGATTGAGCTGTGCCTTTTATCTCCAGAGAAATGGGTTCAAATCCTGATTAGCCCATAGAGGAAATTCCATTTAATGGTGTAATTTTGGTGGGCTGAAAAGCTGTTCCCTGCCTAGAACCACCATCTATTATGGCATGATTGGCAGTCTGTGTTCAAGACAGAACAAGAACTTCACCTCATCTCTACTCCTATTACTTCAGCCTGCCATGAGCTTGCAGTTCCCAACCCTCAGCTCCCACAGAGCCTGAGAAAAGAGGGGATTTGTGGCATGAACAGAGTCCCCACAGCTGTGTCCGGGCAGGGCAGAGCCTGCCTGCGGCTACTGGGGGCTGTGGTGGGGCCAGGAGAATGGAGAGGTGGCACAGAGGAGCCTGAGAAAACAAGGAAGCTGTTGGTGGGAAGTTTCAATGGAAGGAGATGGAAAGTAGGCAACAGGAAAAAAACAGAATGAGGATGGACAGGGACAGGATGAATGGATAAGCAAAGGGTGGGATGAAGGTATACCCAGAGCTGAAGGCAATAAAGCAGAATGGGTGTAACTCTATTTAAACAGCAGAAGGAAATGTCAGCTGTGGGAGGGAGTTACCCAGGGTCATGATGTCACCAAATGTTCTCACTGTGGCTGGTGGTCCTGGTGTAGAAATGCCCTTAGACCTCACAGGATGGTTGTTTCCCCAAGTCTTCATTCTTCAGAGCACAAAACACTGTTTTGCAGGGGAGCAGAAAATCTGCAAGACAGATCAGCAGCCAGCTCAGGCCACCGTTGTATCTCTGCAGAAGCAAAGAAAGGCTCATCCTCGGTCTAATCAGTGCAGTATTTCTATATTGTCTGGCTGTATTTCTGGGGTCAGTGGGAAAAGCCCATATGGGGTCCTGCCAGGTGTTCTCTATAGGCAGAGCAAGTGGAAGAAGGCAACAGGAATTTTCTCTGTGACACTGGTGAGCCTTGTGACCCTGTTCAGAGAAGGGCTGTGAGCAGACACAAAACTGTCACTCTGAGGTGGTGCAGGAGTGGATGAGGATCTGTAGGTGATGGCTGTGAAAGTATTGCTGCCACACCAGGACAGCTTTTCAGCCAAACCTCAATGTTCTCCTCTCCATCCTTTTCATAACCACCTTGGGTGTGAGAACAAGGGATGTGCTCACAAGAGACTTGTTTGGGGTGGCCTTACTCAGGACAATAAAACAGTTTAGAAGAGCATTGATAATGAGGAAAAATGTTATAAAGTTAGCCTGATGATGAAGTGCAAGCTACAGCAGTCTGGGAGGAGAAATACAGAAAGAGGATTTTCCAGCTGGGCAGCAGCATCAGGAGGGACTGAGGGTGCAGAGGGGACAAAAGGCTGAGGGTAAGGACAATATCAGGTCCCTTCCTGGCTGCAGTTCCTCCAGCTGTGAAAGCTGCTGTCCATTACCTTGTTGCTCATCATCCCCTCCCACCTTTTTCAAACCTGTTTATCCTCAGCTTCACCTGGGACTGCTGAATTGGTGATCAGGAATGCCCTGTTATTTGAATTATTGTCTCTAACCTGGACTGTTCACCCGGATTGTGTTTGGAGCAATCCCCCGGCAGTGACGCTGCTGACCTGGGAGGGGGAGAGCCTGCAGCTGGGGGGTGGTGATAAGCAGCTGGAGTGGGTGAAAAGAAATAAACTTTTCACCCAGCTCAGCTGCAGGCAGAACAGGATGTGAGACTGCAACCTAAGACATAGGAGATAATTATTCTACTCCACTTGGCACCGGTGAGGCCTCAGCTGGAATAGAGTGTCCAGTTTTGGGTACTGTGCTGTAAAGAAAAATGTAGACAAACTGGAGAGAGTCCAGGAGAGACACACTAGAAATATCAGAGGCATAGAAGGAACAACCTAGGAGGAAATGTTGAAAGGATTGTTTGTTTAGTCTGGGAACAGCAGAGTCTAAAGAAGAGCTGTGATAAAAATCTTGCAATATTTTAAAGTTCATTGTAAGGAGGATGGTGATAAATCTTTCCCCATGCTTGCTGAGGGATAGGGAAAGAAAGAACCAGCTTTATTTGCAGATAATAAAATTTAGGTTTGACATTAGGAAAAACTATCTAGATAAGAGGGTGGTGCTGTAAAACCAGGCAGGGAGTGAATGGGTCTTATTAAAATTCAGAAGGGTGTTTTATTTTAATAATGAGCATGGAAAGAATAAAGATGTTTCTTGTTTAAATAACTTCTGGGCTAATGCCTGGGACTGGGTTTCCACATGCTGAGAGTCCAGCCATGTGGATGCACTTGCAAGGAACAGCTCTTGGCCTGCAAGCAGGGCAGATACTCTCCTTCATGAGTGGTGTATGCAAACCCCAGCAGCTTGTGGCTGATCTCCTTTTCTACATATTCCTGCAACACAAATGAGCCATCATGGAATACAAGGATCTGTATAAAATTCTACAAATGTGGGAATAACCTTTCACTTATGATCCCATTTCTGGCCCCACTGTATTTCTTCTTTGCAGGTTCATATATCTCTATATCTCTAATCCCTTGTTTGTAGATTTGGTATGTGCACACAGCCAGAGATATATATCCCTGATTGCTGTTAATCCTTTCAGTGTTTTTACATTATACAGCATATGTCCAGGGAAAGTTCTGTCTTGTGCTTTAATGATACTCCCTGATCCTCCAGCAACACTCCTGAAACAGAAAATCACACCATCCTGTTTCCATCCCAGAGAGTTCTCAGGCTGTGAATTGGGTTTTACTGCACATCACAGAAACAAAGAACCTCTGAATATTTTCAAAAGTTCAGTCTGATGTGTTTGCAAACCTAGAAAAGAAATGGAAAGTTGGTATAGAGGCTGGATGTGGAGGAAGGAAGTCAGCACACAAAGGCCCCACACTGCATCTTTGGACTTGCCTGTGACCTCGCAGGGGTCAAAATCCATGGCTGGAGCTGGTCAAAAATTTTTTTTCTGAGGCCTATGATAGAATGTGTTTTTCTCATGAAGTAAACTCTACCAGAGAATAAATATATTTGCTATTTTGAGGGTGTTGAGGCTCTGGAACAGGTTGCCCAAAGAAGTTATTAATGCCCCACTCCTGGAACTGTTCATGGCCAGGCTGGATAGGGCTTGGAGCACCTGGAAGGTGTCTGTGCCCCATGGCAGGAGAACTGGAATGAAGTGATCTCTCAGGTCCCTCCCAATCCAAACCTTTCTATGATTCTATGATTCTAATATTAATTGGTTTGGATTTTAAGTGTAACTTCAGGAACGAGGTCTTTCTGCTACAGGGTTTTACTTTAGTTGCAAAATCTGTCAGATATGTTTTACTTTGAATTCCCAGTATATGTGCTTAACCTTCATTGCACCTTGAGGTAATTTATCTGTAAATGAACACTAATCCAAAAACCTGAAGTCATGTGGGATACTTCTAATATTTTGAAGATAAGTAATACTAAGCCTAAATCACATTTAAAGATGATATTAATTGAAGTAGTAGATCAGGACAAATCAGTAAAACAGAACAGCCAGTCAAACTGGGTTATAGTTGCATTGCTTTCCACAAAAGCACAAAGTACCCATGGGGTATTAATTACCATATTAATTAATATTTTTTTACAGTTCTTTGCAGAAGAACTTTGCAGGTGTCTACACCATGTGTTGTGAAGAACCAAGAAGTGGTCAGTCTTGCCTACTAAAATAAACTGGGAAAGGAAACCAGATGTCAGGAACCTCCTCTGCTGGGGGGGGGGTTGCTGGCTCACAGGAGAGCTCCTGGAGCTGGTTGAGCCCACAGCTCCATGGTGAGACTTCCAGCCCCTAAACCCTGGCAGTTCTGCAGGGGATTAGGATAACTCTGTGCTCCCAGGTCTTCCTGTCAGAACTGCAGCATCATGAAAGGTTTACTGGGATAGAAAGAGAAGACAGGAAAGGGTTGGAGGGAGGAGAGGGGGGACTCATCATCCTTGATGTAGATATTGAACAGCTGGACTTCAAAGACTGTGTTAGTCACCCGAGGCTCCATGTAAAGTCAGTGGAGTGGAAAAGGAACTCCAGATACTTGTCTCAGGACAGGAAATGCCCGATTCCCTGCTGCCTATAGGACACATGTAGGTACCTGGCTAGAGCTAAAGTTAGCTGAGGTGACCTTGCATGGCTTATTAGTTATGACAGTCTCCTGGAAGGAGAGATCCTGAGTTCTGGCCTCTGCTTCAGGGACTTCTGATGGAGTTTGTGCAGATTAAAGGTCACACGGACACCAGCATTAGGGAATGCAGAGTGTCCCTTCTTCCTCCAGTTAAGTGCATTATCCCAGGGGCTGAGTGCATTATCCCAGGGGCTGAGGTATGCTGAGGAAAGTGGGAGATGCATGTTTGAATGTCCTTTTACAGAAGAAGGAACTTGGTCCATGTGCTGCTTCCAGAAGAGTGCTTTGACCATTAAGCATCTGAAAGTGGAAACCACGTCCTGCACAGCCCCTGCTCTGTGAGGCAGCAGGGCTGCCATTACCTTCTTGGGGAGAAAGACCTGCCAGGAGGTCTTGCAGCAGCCTGGACAGACTGGTTGTTTCAGGAGGTTTAGGCTGAAGAGCAACTTAAGAGCTCTGATGGACTTGGAAGTGAGCTGAGTGCTGAACTTTCAGACTTGTCATGCCTGAGGCTCTACCTAGGGAGGAGCAGGAGACGTCACAGTTAAAAAGACTCTCCACACCTGACAGCTGGGCACAGCAAACCTGAATCTCTCCCAGGGGTATCAAACCCAGCTCCTGTTGTCTTCCCCTGGGTTTCTGGCAGCCCTTGGATGACCCATGGTGGATCACAGGGGTGAGGCACCAGCTGAAGGGCTCTGGGTGACAGCTGCTCCAGGACACTGCTGTTTTTCCCAAACCTTGAAGCACACCCCAGTAAAAGCCTTGCAGGCAGAAGGCTGTGCTGCAGACCAGTGGGAGGGAGAGCAGGAGAAGGAACGACACAACACATTACAGCCAGGGAAAAGGATTCTGCATCAGGGATTACGTAACTTTTGACATGTCCTACATATCACAATCCAGTACCAGGGAGCTCACGCTGTACCCTGCCACGTTAGCAGGGCTCACTTTAGACAGCCACTGTTAAATGACATTCCTGTCCTGTCAGAGCTTCTCCAATTTCATGTCTACCACGTCCTTCTGGGGCAGCTCCTCAGAGCCCATGTGCTGCGTGGCACCAGGCTGGAGCTGTACGCTGCACGTGCCTGTGCCCGGCCAGTGCCAGGGGAAGCTGCTCTTCTCTCCTGTTTCAGCTCCCTGCAGGAGGACAGAGGCTCATGGACGAGCCCTTCACTCCACTGCAGGCCAGCACCCAACAGGACGTGGTTTGCATTTAACTGCACCTCAGGAGTAGGAATCCTCGTTTGGGAAGCAAAATCCTTTGGCACTGTTACCAGACCAAACCCATCCCTGCTGGCTTTACGGCCCCTGATGGCTTTTCCACATTTCACATGGGACTGAGCTCTCAAATGCATTTTACAAACTTGACCAACTCCCTCCAATATCTGCTGATGTTCGTTTTCCCACTGATATTTTGCTTATTCCAAATTAACTCCACACCTTGAGATTTTTGTTTTCATTAGATTTTTTTTTTACAGCAGAGAAAATGGGAAAGTGAAAGAGCATCACATGTACAGCCTGGGAAGAGCACAAAGACAGCCAGGCAGCCATTGCAGGGGTTTGGCACCTCGTTCAGGAATGAGCACATGCAGGTAGAATGTTATTCTGCTGCTCCTGCTGAGCACTTAGCAGTTCAGTCTCTGCTGAATCCCAAAGTCGAGCAAAAAGCAGCTGGTTAAGGTGGAATTTGAAAATCAGTCATAAGATAAACAGGTTGCAACATTAAGCACTCTCCAAGGGAAAAGCAGTGTGCAGCATATGTTCTTACTTTGGAAGATATTTAAAAAAAAAAAAAAGAACTTTAATGGACTCTTCACTAGCTTATGGTAGTGGAGCTGTTAATTAATTAAATAACTATATGTGAATGGCATCCATTGGGAAAGAGCCTCACTGCTTCCAGATGCCAGTTATTGGCCCCATTACGGACCTAAAACTATTACAGTAAATCATTACATGCTCCAAGATGAACTGGCACACGATTGCTGTGAGAAAGGATGGAGCTATTCTCACTTGTGCCATTCTTTTGCCAGTTTTTATCTAGTGAGATTAATTAGTACTTTTAGAAGTGCAAGTCAGAGCTATAAAATATTAAAGGATATTCCATCAATGGAGTGGAGACCTGCTTAAGCAGGGCTTTTAAAACTTTTGGATGTTCACGGGTAGATGAGAGTTGGAAGAGATAATGAACAACATCTGATTTTGATTTTTTTTTAAAGAAAGGTCAGATTTATAGCTAGTGGGACTGCACGAAGCCTCCTTTGTGTGCTATAGGAATACTCAGAGGAGGACATTAAAGTTTATCACTGAAGTTCAGGTGCCAGGTAAGCAAACAGTTTCTCAGGCCAAAACCAATCATTTAAGGCAGTTATTCCAAACAGAAAATCAACCAGAAAGTACTAAATAACCTTTTAGCCTGGATCCCCTGCTGGGAGAGGAACATTTTCTGACATTGGATGGCAGCCTAGAATCTATGATCTGGCCTAGAAATGGCTTTTTTTTTCCTTATTTTTTAATTAATAAGCTATAAATTTTCACCCCAAATGACCACTGTAGACCTTTCTGTCTTTTTAGGCTGTGAGAGGGAAAACCACTGAGTCACCTACATCATCGCTTGCCCAGACAGAGCTTCCTTTGAAAATCCTCTTGCCTGCTCTGTCTGTTTTGAAGCCCAAAAGCTGAGTACTGAAGAGGCACTCCAGGGACTGTTTATACAGTTTACCCAATAATTAGTTCTTAGAGACATTAATTCATGGATAGACACTTCCTCTGAGAAATTATTCCACAGCTGAAATTCCTCCCACAGCTGGCTGGACGAGGCATGCTGAGCACATGGGGTTGGAGATTTTGCAGTCCTTCAGCCAGAGCTGGGGAGGAGCAGTGCTGAGGGATCTGCTGCTGACACTGTCCTCTTGCTCCAAGCCCCCCTCTGAACCACGTGTGAAATCTCTCGCCTGAACCTGAGTTCAGGCAGGGTTCAAGTGGGGCCAGAGGGGCCACAGGGGCTGCAAGGAGCCACTTTCACTGGTGCTGGTAACCAGCCCTCCCACACAGCCCTGCCGGGGCAGACTGAGAGATGCCAGCACTGATAGGCCTCTCCTGCTTAACACAACAACCTGTTTGTCCAGAAGGACAGACAGGATCTCCCCTGGTTCAGTGGGAAAGTGTCCCAGACTGTTCCAGAACACAGAGTCTCCACTCGCCCCGGGACACGGAGCAGGGGTGGCAGTGAGGCTGTGGGTGAACTGCTCTGCTGCTTGGCCACATCACATCCAGGTCAGCCTGGCTTGGAGGGCATCATCCCTTCCCTGCACCATGCTGTATAAGGCAGACCATGTGTCCAATAGCTGTTCATCGTGGGTAGAAAAATCAGGTGTTTGATGGGTGGGGGGATTCACAAGAGAATGGATATCTCAGGAAAACCGACCTCATCTCACTGCTTCTCCTAAAGCACAGGTAAGGCCACATTCACACAAATTCTACAGGGAAGTGAGACTTACTCTACAAGAAAAGCATGAGTGAGGGTTTGCTGACTAATCCCTAGTTAAAGGAAACAAATTGATTTATTATATGAGCATGACAAATTGAGGCACCGGTCTTGCAAGTTGGGCTGTGTGAGCAGCTCCCTGTGTCCACGTGGCTCGGATACAGCCCAGTAAGGCTGACAGCTGGGAGTTGTAGCTGCCAAAATGGGAATATTGCTGGCTCAATTGCAAAAGGTTGGAAAGTTTGTGGCTATACTTTTCTGACGTGTCCGAGATTTGGGTGGGAGCCATGGGAGCTCCAGCTCCTCTGCTGAGGCACAAGGACAGGCAGCTGCTTTGTCAGCCTTCCCCAGCGTGTATGCTGGTAAGAAAGCACAGCCTTTTCTGGTTTTAAATGAAAACAAATTGCTTTTAGGACCTTGGATCTGAAGAGGGGAGTGTCATCATGCGTCCAACACAAACAAAAAACCAAGCTGAGCCAAGACCAGCCCAGTGCTTCTTTCCCATTCTCTGGCTGTAAACACAAGAGACTCCTCTTGGCTTGTGTGAGAGTGGGAGGGAACACAATCACCAAGCAAAAAACTTTGTTTCTACTTGATAGTTTAACGTCATGTAGGCAGGAGTTGTGCTTTTCTACTGAGCACACTTTTCTACTCCATGGAGTTTTTGACTGGCCTGTCCTTGTAGTAGAGGAAAATAAACTGAGATAAAATGCAGCTACTTTTCTTCTTTAACACAGATTATTACATTTTGTTGGATTTTTTTTCCTGAGTGGAACATACCAAAAAATACCAGTGTGGTCCTAAGGTGTCAGCACAATGCCTGATGTGTTTGATGGGAAAGGGCTCCAAGTCACTGGGGTATGGAGCGTACAGGGGACTGGGGACAGATGTTTAGATAAAGGATTTTGATCCAGAACAAGGTGGAAGTGAGTTCCAGTCATCACAGACTGGGAATTGGACATTTGCCTGTGTGCATTGAGCCTGTGGATACCTCTACAGGCCTCGGAATCACAACGTGAGACAACAGCCACTGTCAGCATGGCTTGATGTCCTTCTCCAGACAGCACCACCTGGCTCTGCCTGTGCATGTGCTTTCCTAGCCACCACAGTAAGTTTTTCATGCCCTATGCTCTGAGTAATTTGGGAAAGAAGCAGGAAAAAGGAAGAGAGCCATATATAATGATTGTAGAATTAATGGTGGATTTCAAGTCTCTAGGTGGAGGAATAATGGATTAGTGTTGGAAGTCTGGTTCAGTTATGTATGTTCTGGCAGACACAGCTGGAGGAAACCTTGAGGTGTAGATGAAAAGTCCATTTTCACTTTGTAAAGATGTATGCACACCCTTAACTTTAAAGGTATAAATTTTCCCGTTGACTTCCCTGGAACTATTCATGCATTAAACATATGCATGAGCCTTTCTAGAAATAGGGAATATAAATGGGGCTACCAAAATAGTTAACCAGAAATACTTTCTGTACAATGGAACAGAAAAATTTACAAGAGGTGTGCACACAGGAGCTCTCAGGAACAGATAAACGTAGGTCACACTGTTGAAGGACAGGGCATCATTGCATGTGTATGAGAGGGTGTTTTCAGCGACCTACAGAGCAGACTGGAGAGCAGTTTGCTTTCATTACGTTAATTAAGCAATTTACTGGAATTTAGCATGTGGCAGATTGGCAGGAGGCAAGTTTAACTTGGGTTGTGTGGCTGAGATCCTTTCACTGCGTTGACAGCCTCGAGTCCTGCCAACAGAGCAGCACACTCAGTGCATTTCTGCTGGTGGCTTCTGTGCTAAGTCCAACTTAAACAATTCCATTGGGGCCTGACAAAGGGAATGGATAAAAATGAACAGGATCTACATTACTTGAGCAGTCTGTTGTGAACAAGATATCCAGAGTCTGTTTATACGTAATGAATTTTCATTCAAGCAGTAGCTTACCTGGGCTAGCAAGAATTCTGTTAGCTGTTAGTGCATAATTATTTTTTAACATTCACATGGAAAATGTTTTTATTTTTATTGTCTGTAACTGTTTCTTCACATTGTTTTTCTTGATAGGTTTATTTTCTATGTTATGCTGTAGTCATTAGCATTTAAATCTATAGGTTGTTCTGGAGTTGCCATGGCTGGTTTGGGAATGTCAGTTACACAAACTTTCAGCAAATAAGCAAAATTGAGACTTGAGCTGGTGGTTGGAGAACAACATGAACGCAGCCTATAGCACAATCAAAACCATTAAAAGCCAAAGGCCACTTGTTTGGCAAAGCTGCCCTATACTCAATATTTTTAGACCTGTTTTTGTTAGAACACCTTAAAACAGACCTTTAAGCTTTGCTGTTTTCATGGCAGAAGCCTGGGCAAGTTGCAGCCTCAACCATCTTCTATGGTTCCTTTGATGAATTAAAAATGAGTACTTGAACAAGACCATCAACTAAAAGTCTGCAAAAAAGCAATTCCTTATTCAGGAGTACTTAAGGCTTTTATACAGTTTCACAGGATTGGGGGGGGTTGGGGTCTTTGTATCAAGACTACGCTCTGACCTCTCTTTTCTTCTGTATTCAAAACCTAACGTCACCCTGCCCAGGATTATCCAGATCTGCTTTTCAGTATCAAGACCAATTAACTGGTGAGAAGGAAAGCTGTGGGGAAACAAGGCGAATCCAAAACGAGATGAGGCTTCAGTCTCTACTCCAGTCTCCACTTGTGTTTATTCTGGTTTCCAGCAGGCTTCTTTTGGCAAAGAGAGATTTACTGCTTGAGCTTTGGCACGGTGTTTCAGACAGGGAGGAGAGCTGGGACAGGAGACCGCAGTAAGAAAATGTACCTTGCATTCAGTTTTCATTGAACAGAAGGATTTCTCCATTTCCTTTGAATGTCCTCTTCTATGTCATGATGGCTTTGCAAGATGAAATGCCTTCTGTCCTATCTGGTTTTGGAGAGTCTGAAAGCCTACCTGCTTCCCAAATATAATGGTTTTGGCTTCAAATAAATGACAGGACAACAGTGACACTGAAATAATCCACAGCAGAGAGTAGCTAGGACCAATTCTACATACTGAGAATTCAGCAGGTTTTTTAATTTTGCACTGATATTTAATGATTTCTTATCCTAACAGAAAGCACTTTTGTTTGTGCCACCTTTATCTTCCTAGAAGCTAAACCATGCTCTTGGAGAAAACAGGTTGTAGGATCAAAAGATCTAGAAAACCAGCCTTGTA